GGTTTAAAGAGGGGAATACCCATATATATCCTCTGTGAAATAACTCCCTTTTAAAATAAGAAATGTACAACACATCTTCCCTAACATATAAATACGGGAAACTGGTCACACAATTTATGAATGGGAAGCTTCAGGCGAGGCGGGTATGTTGACATTAATTGTAAGGCCGGGGTATGTTGACATTGTTATGGGCGGTCGGTCGCTTAGTCTCTCTGCTATACATTAGCTATGAATAAACCTACTTCGACATATATTTTCAATAAAACATTTTCCTCGTCAAACAATTTTCCATGATAAACTCTGTTCTCTCTTCGAATTAAGGGTGAGTATTGTAAACATGAAAATGTCCTATAGATTGCTTCCATCACTTTCCCAACAAACCTAGCTTCGTGCCGTCACACTGGTACATGTACTTATCAGTTTTCTATCTATTTTCAAAATAGCACGTTCTGAAGTAAAACTGTGCACATCATGTTACACGGTTAAAACTCAAACCGTAGGGCTTATTTATCATCGCGTTAAATGGAAAAGCTAGCATTGAAACATCAACTATGCAAGTCGGGACAGGGCTGAATAAGTGAACGCCCTCTATACAAATGGTTCACAATAGTACGCAGCGCGGGTGATTCGAAATTCGGCTGCCTTCAGCGTTATAGTCAATGCAGGGTGACGTGACTACCTCGTTCTTGCGCGCTAAATGTAATTAAACAACACTGCTAGCTTACTGATTGTATAGTCTTATCTATTTCTTCTATGGTTTTTTTCCATACAGGTTGTCTAACGTTCATGGTGTACAACGTGTAGACCGTACAAGATGAATTTGATCCAGCTAGACGTACATTTTTTTCCTACATTATCCGGCGTATATAAAGTTGACACAACCCGTCTCTATTGTGGTATGATGTACTTTCAACACACACCCTGTATTCATCAAACCAGGTCGCACGCTCTCGCGAGCGCGGTCAATTTGAAACGACTACGTGAGTTGTACACTAATTGTAATTTCTACTAACGCCTGAAATAAACGAAACTATTATGACCAATAAACAATTTGAAACGATGTGGTCACGTGAGTTGTCAAGCGCGCTCAATTCAAACTGGGCTGCTTGTGTATTCAGGGCAGCACGCCATACACATAGGTCTATTGAATACCCTTTACTTTTGTTTACTTACGAATTCTTTTCTGTCTTATAAACACACACCTTTCATTCCCCACCCTTTCCCGACGCGCTGTTGATGCATGAGTCATCCTATCAGATCACGTGACTTGGATCAGCCAATCACCTTCCCTATTTTCACTCAACCTCCCTCAACCAAAATGGGGTTCCTGGCGACCCGTTCTATACTACTACTATACACACTAACCTCTCTGATTAAGGATGATGGCGTCGACCAACTGTTGTCGATGACATCTGTACCAAATGACAAAATTATAAAATCCGTGTGGAAAACTCCAGGAAAACACGCAGTTCACTTTTCCAAAGGATTAACTGAGCTTCTGAATTTCTGGACGAAATGTTAGTCCTAAAAATAAATGGAATATTTTGAAGCATTCGTTCAGTCAACAATAACCTCTCACGTAGGTGTCGTCTGATTTAACGCAGCACGAAAGTCCGTGCAACGGAAATGATTTCTGATTGGCTGACACCGCATACACGGAATCACGCGCGAACACCTGCAGTGAAATATACAACAATATCCGTGAGTGTTATGACATTTGTTTGTGCAAACATTTGGCCATCACCACAGTCACTGAAATCTTTAAATTTACCTCGAATCACTTTAAATAACGCGTTCTCGAGATATTATCCTTCTTCTACAGCTGCCTGGATAACGGATTAGGCCTATTGCATCCATATGTCATAGTGAGTGAGTATGGTTTTACGCCGCTTTAGCAATATTCCAGCAATATCACGGCGGGGGACACCAGAAATGAGCTTCACACATTGTACCCAGGTCGGGAATCGAACGCGGGTCTTCGGCGTGACGAGCCATATGTCATAAATATCGTTGGGGGCGACAATGTAATTTTTGTGGAAGGCTATTTCTTTTCTTCAACATTCTGAAGCATAATTTATATTTCAGGCATTTTCGGGGACAATATATGTTGTTCGATAAAAGCTCCCGCCCCCTACCCTAAATATCAAATGGTCGATCCCTTACACATACTTTCACAATTTCAAAGATGTCATTTCCATTCAGTTACTCGACCCGTGAAGATCAGGGGTAGAATAGGTCTTCAGCAACCCATGCTTATCGTAAAAGGCGACTATGCTTGTAAGAGGCGATTAACGGGATTGGGTGGTCAGGCTTGCTCGCTGACTTGGTTGATGCATGTCATCAATCCCAATTGCGTGGATCGATGCTCATGGTATTAACCACTGGATTGTTTAGTCCCCACTCGATTATTTACAGACCGCCGTCATATAGTTGAAATATTGCTGAGTGCGGCGTTAAACAAAAAACCAACCAACCATTCAATTACGGGAAGCTATAACCTTCGACGGGGTTGATTTTGTAGTATAACTAAGAAGGTCTTAAGTAATCTAAACATCACAGAAAAGTATATTTTAATTTAATTGGGTGAGGTAATTCATTAATATTTCTCATCCAAAACATCTTCACTGTTGTCACTCTCCTCCTCAAAGACAGCACCCTACAATTGGGGTTTTGTGGGTGGTGGGGCAAGATTCTTGTCATGTCCGCTTGATCACTGGTGGCAGCGATGACACCGGGAGGTGACGCACTGGGGACAAGACAGCAGACACAGCAATTCAGTTTCCCTAGAAGCATTACGCTTCTTGCCACTCTGTACACAAGACAACAGAACAGCATCGGGTGCTTATTCATTTCTCATGATTTCAGTCAGTACCTAACACGTCCGCCTCCGCGGTCTAGTGGTAGAGCGTCCGCCCGGAGAGCGGAAGGTCCGGGGTTCGATCAAAAAGACGTTAAAAGATGGTACTTGTTGTTACCCTGTCTGACGCTCGGCATAAAGGGGCTAAAACAAGGACTGGTCGGCTCGGAGTCAGTATACTGTGTCTGAGTGGGGTATTCATGTTAAACTGCGGCATGGTATCTCAGTGGGCTAGCACTATAAATCGGCATCAGTCCGGACTAGTACACGCAGCCACACACACACACGTGCATGCACGTCGCTATATAAGTGCAATAATCTTGGACGCGACGTTAAACCCCATTTCACCTCACCTCACCAGTACCTAACACGTCGTTAAATGTTGCTCTCCAGAGTTGTCTCCCCATCCTACATCGTAGAGGGCGCTGTAACTGTCATTAACCTTCAACTCAGTGTATAACTTGCTATTATCCATCTTTTTCACTCTTCCTCTCATGGGTACAATGTAAGAGTCTCATTCTGGTGTCCCTTGTAAAAGTGCCAAAAGTGGCGTAAAAACATACAAACTCTTCGACATGATGGCGGCCGGCGCCCTTGCAGGGATACTTATTCGAACAGGAGTAATAAATATCCTAACCTTTATCTGTTTTCATTTGAGTAGACTCGAACCATTTCAACGATTAGACACCAGGGTCCGAGGGCTGTAACCTATATAAACCATGACCAACATTCGAAGAACCTTAGCACCCAATATCTAAATGTTTAAACAATTGTTCTGATAACCGTTTTTTAAAACTTTGAGAACACAGTGTGAGTCGCACCTGCGTGAGGCACGTGAAACAAATATGTTCTCTGTACATTTGGCACGTGCACCCACCAGGGGCAAGCATATAATTCATGACCCGTGAAGATCCTGGTTAGAATAGGTTTTCAGCAACCCATACATTCCTGTCACTCACAAACTCACTGAATACCGAAAGAGGCCATTACAGAATGCACTTTCACAGTATAATCCACGTCACAATTTTTAAGGGCATTGGTGCCCAATGCATTAAAACTGTCCGGAGTTGCCTCCCTTTAGATGACAGAAGCTGCTGGTGATAGGTTCAAGTCCCACATTCTCCCTGATGATGACCCTTTTTTGTCATTTCCATACCTATGGGACCCGTGAAGACCCGGGTTGGAATAGGTCTTCAGCAACCCATGCTTGCTGTAAAAGGCGACTATGCTTGTCGCAAGAGGCGACATCCGGTGACTTGGTTGATGTATGTCAATCACTGGATTGTCTGGTTCAGACTCGATTATTTACAGACCGCCGTCATATAGCTGGAATATTGCTGAGTGCGGCGTTAAACAACAAACCAACCAGCCAACCTTAAGGGAAAAATGTTTTGTTTGACTATTTGTTGTTTAACGCCGCACTCGGCAATATTCGAGGTGCATGACGGTGGTCTGTAAATAATGGAGTCTGGACCAGACAATCCAACGATTGACATCATGAGCATCGATCCACGCAATTAAGATACGATGAAATGCATCAACCAAGTCAGCGAGCCTGACCACCCGATCCCGTTAGTCGCCCCTTACGACAAGCATGGATTTCTGAAGGCCTATTCTACCCCGGATCTTCACATGAATTTCCGTAATTGCCATATGGTATTCAACTAGAAATTCAGGTACTTACTGAATGGTCAGAGACAAAGGAGGCATTGTTTACATACATACATACATACATACATACATACATACATACATATATACATACATATAGTCCCAATTACAATGATATGTGAGTGAGTGAGTTGGGTTTAACATCGCTTTGAACAGTATTCCAGTTAATTCACGGCGTGTCAGCTTGATGTGGGAGGAAAGCCCGAAGTGATGCAGGTCTCAAACATTTATCACTTTGGTGAAACCTTCGCGCACGGGCACAGTGCTGACAAACCTAGAAACATAATCGGTTCGAACCGGGACACAATCGCACAATCAATCATCAATTTCTCGCGTGCCTAAGGGACGCAACTCTGCACATGAGATTGCGGTGCCTCAGGCGACTTGGATCCCCCCGACATGATGCACTTATTCGCTCAAATTACGGAAAATGAATCGTGGACGTATACAAAATAACTGAAAATTTAATACAGCATTTTAAAATCGTGTTTATTACATCATCTCATATCACGGCAGACTATGCCAGTTGACCACATTGGATAGTCTCAAATTCTTCCACACTAACGATTTGATAGCGTTCCCCATTACAGAATATGAAAGCTATATGTTCTCTGTTACGAGCATCCTTTTGATCTGTTTGAACTATTGCCGACTGACGCAAGCCATTCTTGATATTGTCATTACCAGTAGAGGCAATCTTTTCATTACATTTCCTCACATTCGCTGTGTTATGTCCGGGGACATTACGGCTGAACGTTGATATTGACCGTTGCTTAGCAACATGAACGCCGGAACCATTTCTTTCCAGATCAGTGCAATGTCTCTTAGTCGATGTTTTCTTCATAATCAATTCATTATCATAAAACTGCTTGATTTTCTGTAACCGTTTCCTTTTCGGGGATTCCTGAGATTCAATATTCCAAGTTTCATTTCCGACACGAGACTCATATTCCCCAGCAACGGCTATTACGTCAGTGGGATTCCTCTCAATATCAGAACGAGCCTCTGCAGTTCCTCTCCGTACCTTAACTTTCTCAGATTGGGCTGCAGCGTTCACAATCTCGGTCTGGTTTGGGCAAAGGCGTGATGTCCTTCGTTCCTCAGTGCTTACCTCCTTCCGAATAACTTCGGCTTGGGGTGTCTCAGTCTGTTCACTGCAGCGTGTGCTGATGGAAATGGTGCTTTGCCCTGATAAATCTCTGTATGTTGGCGCTGACCGTTGCTTAGCAACATGAACATCGGAATCATTTATTACCAAGTCGGTAACAGCATGTCTACCAGAAGATGCTTGTCCCGTGGTCTTTCCATTTCTGAAAAGATCCCAGATTATCTTTATTTTTTTCATTTTCGACAGGTCCTGGACCTTATTTTTTCTGTGTCCCAGTTTGGGAGTATCACTATTCAGCATTTCATAAGGTTTACATTGAGGGTTTGCTGAGTCTCTGGGTCCAAGCTCAGGTGCATACGTTTCATGAATAGGATCCATCTCCACATCAGCTCGCGATTGCCTGGAGTGCCGTGTCCCACATTCAAACAGAGACCTGTCCGACCGATCTGTGTTGATATCGGTTAAAGCGCTGAATATATTCCTACCTGTTTCCGAACCTACCTCTTTACTGGGTTTCACGAGGGCTGCATGGGAAAAGGTGCTGGCGTTGATTTCAGGAACCGGAAGTGCCGCTTGTCCTGATCTAGATCTACGTTCAGTTCGATTCATCGAGAATAGTTCGTTACGAATGAAGGGACCAGGCTGTTGTCCTTGCTGGCTTAACTTTTTCTCACATCTTCTCGAAAATGAAGCATTCCCGTTACGATGCTGCCCTATTTTTGAATCTTGTTCAAGATCGGTGACGTTTTCAAGTTCACGTATTGTCTGGATTGTCTCCCTTACATCAAGGTGCGGCAAGCTCCATACAGCGTCACCTCGTTCACTGTGTGAGGGTAACAAAGGTGGCACACGCTGGAATGGAGCTTGTAGCAGTCTTTCGTCCAACTGGGGTAGCGAGTATTGGGGGAACTTGCATCGAGCTGGTATCTGGGGTATATGACCTCCGGACCTCAACGCCTGAAACTGTTCCTGCGGGAATGGCATGTTCATCTCCTTGCGGGGATCCATGTCATGTGACTTGAATTTATCTGGGGTTGTGCACTCTGTGAGGTCCTCGCGTGTCCTTTGTCATGGTTACGTAGATAGGACACTGGTAGTGATATCGGGAAACTGTGGTCGCGCAGAGTATCAATCTGAAGGCTTTCATTCGTCTAGTGTAACGGTCTGAAACACTGCAAGAGAAATATGAGAAAAATGTTTGACACCATATACAATCATAGACATATAGCGACTGGTTGTGGCATTGGTCCCATGTAATAAGGGAATAACTGTTTTTTTGGTTTGGTTTGTTGTTTAACGCCGCACTCAGCAATATTCCAGCTATATGACGGCAGTCTGTAAATAATCGAGTCTGGACCAGACAATCCAGTGATTAACATCATGAGCATCGATCCACGCAATTGGGATCGATGACATGCATCAACCAAGTCACCCGATCCCGTTAGTCGCCTCTTACGACAAGCATAGTCGCCTTTTACGGGAAGCATGGGTTGCTGAAGACCTATTCTATCCCGGAATCTTCACGGGTCGAGTAACTGGCCGACACATAATTAAAGGTAATCATCAAGCAACCATTCCAAGCGCTGGTTTATCCCACAATGGCACACATTATTGTCGTATTGCTAGCGTCAATAGGGTTTTGTACACTGTACACATAAGTCCTAAGTGGAAGTTAAAACAGCAGTGTCATGCAAAAGTTATTCCATTGTGACGCATTTAGGTCACGTGTCACTATAGATCTTCCAGCCTTTGATTATCGCTCGATGGCTTTCAGCGTTGATTGTCACAGTCCAATTTATAGCAGGGGCTTTATTAATTACACTGTTGAAACTAATTGACGAATCTAAAATCGACCATTTTGATACATTTTGACATTTCCTCCACATTTAGTGTCCTTAGAAGTCCGACATATGAATTGTGGAAATTAAAAAAAATGATTACTTTTAAAACGATTGTACAGTATATGCTGTATATTGTACAGTATATTGATTTTAATCTATTTCTAAATAAAAACGAAAAGAAACGAAGCCTCCTTCACTATAAGAGCGTGTCCATCGTTGTGTAAACAGCCAATAAGCATTTCGATACGCAAGATGGCCGCCGAAAAAACCGGGACCGATTGATGTCTTGAAAAGCATAGTACAAAGAGTGAAATAAGCACACAAAAAAAATCAAATTTGAGTTACAAAAAGTACCGTGAAATATGTCCTTTTAACACTAAAGTATAGTCTGTTGCTTTTGACACTAATGTGATTGACATGATTAAGGAAAAACATGGCAACTATGCGGACCTCGCTTTCGAAATGTCGCGCTTGCGTCCCAAGTACCAAGTTGTCCGATTCCCAATTGTTCACGGTGTCTTAGGTTTGGTACCTCCCAATCTGTTGACTGACATTGGGAGAATACCCGGGGTTGCTACCAGGAATACAGCCCTTCTGACAATCTGGGTAATGCAGAGGGCTGAAGTGTTGGTGAGTCTTCACATTCTCCGAAAAGTTTTGGGTAGGTTTGACAAGGCAGCGCTTACTTGGAGAAGTCCCATTCGCTGTCTGGGCTGCATGTAGAGGGGGCAAGGGCCCTGAGCTAAAGATGAGCCTAACCAGCCTGACTGTGCCAGGATCACCCAAGATCAACCCTCTTTGCTGATTTTTAAAACATTTAATCTGTACATAATAATAATAATAATAATGATAATGATATGATGATAAAATAATAATAATGATAATAATAATTATAATAATAATAATAATGATGATGATGATGATGATGATGATGATGATGATGATGATGATAATAATAATAAATAAGTACATTTTTCATGCGCTTCCGTGTTCTAGGTGAATGCTCACTATCTACATAAAATCAGGGGAAACTGCAGATACAAGATCATAGATCCAAGACAAATAGATGTGGCAGTTGAAGTTAGATTTGATAAAAGAGTCTGAACAGGAATGTCTTGAGACGGGACTGGAAAAGAGTTTCTGCTTCATACGAGTTTCCTTACCAGAACCAGTGACCATACAATAATTTGAATAAATCTATTTTAGGCCTCTGTCAGAATTTGCTAAATATAACTGTAAAAAATATTGTAAAGTTAGAACTTACGTTTAAACTGGAGGACCACGTGGAAGTGACCACGAACTATCTCTCCACGGCTTGCCCTCATTTCGCCTACACCTCATTTCGACTACAATAATTCAAATGCTTAATTGCCTCACCCCTATTATATGAATGGGCATTGTCCATCTCAGGCTCTTAACTAATCCAAGCTCAGTCAGTGCAGTCAGCTGTAAATTTGGTTCGATAAGGGTGTAGGCGAAATGAGGTGAAGGCGAAATGAAGACAGGCCCTCTCCACGTGTTGTGAGTGCGAACCGTTCAACCATGACTATTCAGCGAACCTGTTTCAGTTATGTTTTCAAACACGTAGTTGATAAACATAATGGAAACATGTCACCATCCAAGAAGTCGGCGATGGCCCGTATGACATTTCTAATTGAAACACCAAACACGATATTTACCGGAGCGATCGCAAATATCCACTTCTGAGAATAACGTTACAACGGAGGGTTGGCGGAAACAAAGAGAGCGCCAGGTGTTTCCAGGGGAGGTAAGCCTTGCTAACATCTGTCAGGTGGGCGCAAATATGTCATTTGTGCCTGCGGTCGTCCTCAATAGTCTCGTTGTTAGTTAGGCAGTTGTTCTAGCGGTTAGGTCTACTTTTGCCCGCTGTCCAGTTGGCCTACAGTTATTTTGCCTACAGAAATGGTGATGTGTCGCCTACACTCATATAATTTCTGTTGGTAATGGATCAGTCCCTACGTTGATGTGTAACGTGATGGAAACTAAAGAATGACATATTGTCTGAATTGACTGAGTTGAAGATAAGTATTTTAAAAAGATGTTAATGCATGCAAGAAGTAGTTATAAGAGATTAAAAAAAAAGAAACTACACATCTCTTGAGTAGACTCCCATAATGTTAAAAAGGGTATTTGTTTGTTGTTTAACGCTTCACTAGGCAATATTCCAGCTATATGACAGCGGTCTGTTAATAATCGATTCCGGGCCAGATAATCCAGTGACTGACATCATGGTCGTCGATCCACACAATTGGGATACGACGACATGCATCAACCAAGTCAGCGAGCCTGACCACCGGACCCCGTTAGTCGCCTCGTACGACAAGCATCGGTTGCTGAAGACCTATTCTAACATGGATCTTCACGGGGACTAATTATAAAGCCCTAAGGCAGAGCCCTGCATGTCGCAGGATCTTACGTAAGTATATTTACGTGATGACTGACCTTGCAGAACGTTACGTCACATATCGACAATGGAAAGTCGTTGCCCGGCTCCATGCCGGTCTAAGAGTGGTTAAACTGGTCTCAGGGGTCACTGACCGCTTGGTCCCCGTTAGTCCTGCACCACCACTGTCAGGAATATATCTATTTTATGAAAATAAAACTCAATCTAGAAACAAATACAAAAACAAGTCTAGCCAGCTCTAGCTAACTCTATTCCACATGAAATCAGCATCGGGAAAATTATTATTTTTATTTTTAGTCAAGAAGTATATTGTGAAATATAAGATTTCATAGACTAAATGTTAGTCGAGGTTCCCGTGTGCGTTCTGTCATGTAGAATATTTGTGAGTGCGGCGTTAAACACCAAACAAAGGTTAGAGGGGATGCGACAAATGTTTAAGAAAAAGAAAAGAAAAAACATCTAAGAAAATTCGTTTACTTGTCATGCCGGGTGTTCAGAAAAACAACGCGGGTTCATTCACCTGTTACGTAATCTCATAATATGGTCCTTGAAAATTCTTGAAAAATATTTATGCTTCAGACTGCTGGAAAAAAAGAAGAAATTGCCTGGCATTACATTGTAGCAAGGTGTTTTTCTTAATAAAAAATCAGGCTCATAGTTTAAATAAGAAAGTTGTATCTGGTTTTATAGCTGCAGCTGAAAAGAATTATTATCAAATCTGTATACAAAATCTCAACCCCCACATCACCCCAGACACGGACCTATACAAGTCCGTGCCCCAGAATATCAGATGGCCCGTCCCTCACGGTATAAAGCATGACATGGTGACCAGGGTCCCCGTGCACAAAGCGATCTTAGCGTAAAGGTGATGTTAACCTTAACGAGTATGCCATGTCGTCCTGATGTCTCCCTCTCTCTCTCTCTCTGGCTCCCCCGACAATAACTCCCTCTCTGCCCCCCCCCCCCCCCCCCCCCCTCCCTCTCTCGTGTCTCTGTGTGTGTGTGTGTGGCTTAATCTGTCTCTTTCCTCCTGCTCACCATCACTCTCTGTGGCTCAGTCTCATGCTTAATTTCTCTCTCTCTCTCTCCCCCCCCCCCCCCACCCCACGCCCTCCTTTCCTCCCAGTGACAAATATATTTAGTAAATCTAAAAATAAGGCCCATGCTTAAAAAAAATTATCAAATTTTCCTTCTTCAAAATTTATCTTGTCATTATACTAGAATCAGTTATCAAACACATGGTGAGATATATTATATTTCAAGTCGTTGTCCACTGTGTTCCGAATGCCTCACAAGCTCTGTAACTGACGCTGTACACCAGCAATGATTGTAATGAAACATATGCAACATAACGACCCGTTAAAACCAATCTATGAGACAATTTTCCACCTACTTCACTCTGTCATAAAGTAGAGTATAAATAACACACAGATGGACAAGAGTGTCTCGTGGTGTCTAGACAACTAGACTGTAGCAGTCTCTTATAATTGTAATACCACTTCTCGTTGCCACGAAACACTTTTCTTCTATTCTATACTATTCTGTATTTAGTAGATATAGATTTCTAAACAATAGAACTTTATTTCTGGAAATAAACGTCAGTGTAAGCCAGACCCCTTTGTCACATGTCCTAAGACATAAATTTAATTTATTAAAAAGCATATCGGACCATGAACTCATGTTTGTGTCGTGATGGGAAAATGACCGAGAACCAGTAACCTCATCTGTCCGGGGCAAGAGTCTCCACCTGCAGTCTGTATGGAGCCTTGTCGTGACAGACATATGGTCAAGTGTGCACTTTGTGATAAAAGCATGAAACTTGACACAGTTGTAGGTAATGACATTCCAAATGTTTATATATTGTGACTTCCAATAAGATCCAATATGGCCGCCAAATCCAAAATGGCTGACATGGAAGAATGAAATTCTATTTTATCTCGTTTGAACATGACCTACAACGTAAATATTTTATGAAAAATGAACATTTTGGAATGCATTTACCCAACAGTACGCCTGTAAGTAAATAACTATATTTTTGTAGCCTATTTGTTTTGATTTAAGAAATCTAAAAAGTGAAAAATTTTCATTTCTTTCATCATGTTGTTCATACCCTGTTCTGATCGTTTATGTTTGTTTGTTGTTTAACTCCGCACTCAGCAATATTCCAGCTATATGACGGCGGTCTGTAAATAATCGAGTCTCGACCAGTCAATCCAGTGATTGACATCATGAGCATCTGATGGTATATCACCAATAAGATTGAAAGACTCTGACGACTCTTAATAGAACTTGACATGGCCTGAGTTCTAAGATGAGAGAGTCGTGGTACCTTAAGGTATGCGGCAAGAGATTAAGAAACACCTTCATTTTGTCTCATCTGGGGAAAGGAAGCCTGCCCAGAAGAGCCAGGGAGTGTGTGTTTTGGCCTGGAATGTCTGATCGAATAAAAAACTGATTGCGGAATCGCTTGTCCGACATACTGTAGAGCTCAACAGAAAAAGACACTCGTACCTATTGAGGCGAACGTCCCATGGCAAATTATGGAGTTCACTTGTTCACCTGGGATGATCGAGAATCATCTGTCGTCTGAATATGACACTGCATCTCAGATCATCTCCGTCACTGCGATAAGCGTTCATTGTTAAAATACGACCCGTGAAGATCCAGGGTAGAATAGGTCTTCAGCAACCCATGCTTGCTGTAAAATGCGACTATGTTTGCGACTAACGGGATCGGGTGGTCAGGCTCGCTGACCTGGTTGATGCATGTCATCGCATCCCAATTGCGTGGATCGATGCTCATGATATCAATCACTGTATTGTCTGCTCCAGACTGGATTATTTACAGTCCGCCGTCATATAGCTGGAATTTGCTGCGGGCGGCGTTAAACAACAATCGAACGAAACCAAACAAACGTAAAAAATGAATGTTGTTTGCAGCGAAATACATGAAAGCACTTGGGCGAGCTGATTTACAACTTTCAACCATCTTGAAAATATTTGTCTTCGTTTAATGTTTTGAATAATTTCAGCGCAAATACGACAGGCGATGGCTGTGGCCATAGTAGCGACCAGAAATGTGTCTCTGTATAATGTTCAAAAGACGTGCATTTAATTATAAACATAAGATAGCTACGCGAAAAATCGCAAAGAACAATAAAGGACGGGGTTTATCTCACGATAAATCATTATTCTATCGTGACGTAATTTCTGGAGATTCGAACCAAATACAATAATGTAGTAACTGAAACACGTTTCAACAAGATAAGCATAAGTACCGATAAGCATCCCATTGGACAACATGTATTGCAATTAAAAGGGGCATTGTTTTGAAGTTACCTATCTATATAGGGTAGAGTCAGGTCCCAAACTATCATGAACTCATATATTGTATAATATAATTTAATTTGTTTTCTGACCCGTGAAGATCCGGGGTAGAATATGTCTCCTCAACCCATGCTTGCAGTAAAAGGCGACTCACGGGCTCGGGTAGTCAGGCTCGCTGACTTGGTTGATGCATGCCATCGATCCCAATTGCGTGGATCGAACGTCATGATATCAATCACTGGATTGTCTGGTCCAGACTCGATTATTTACAGACCGCCGTCATTTAGCTGGAATATTGCTGAGTGCATGCGGCGTTAAACAACAAACCAACCAAAAACCAACCAATTTGTTTTCTGAATCAGAGACTGTCTCGAGTCTAGCTGGCAGCATATGGCTCACGAATGAGCCCTCGGAGAATCAGCAGAGATTGGACAACAGGTTTGTGACGAACAAACCGATTGTAAAACAGTGTGCACAATGCGATTGCGACAGACGGTGTTTGCAGAGGCCGTTGAACATTGCCTGTTGGTTGTCGTCAGCTGTGTGTTGAAGAAAAGGAACAAGACCGGAATTTGTGAACGAATATGAAGATATGAACTCAGACAGGACAACTGTGAAGACAGCGACCTTGGTGAAAATGAGGCCATGATGCCCCCCTCAGGTACCGAACTGAAAGTAATTTTTACTTTAATTTTTTCAACTTTAGATCTCATTTCGTTAAAAAAGACAGCAATGGGTCGTAGTTGTTGTTCGCGTAGGTTAAGACTAATATTATTCATCATAAGTGTGACAGCACTGATGGTTTGGAAATGCAAATCATTAACTTCCAATGTGAAGAGTGAGAATGCTACTGAGAGCCCAAACATCGTAAGCCTTCGTGAAAGCAACATCACTACGTCTCGACAAGGTGGCGTCACGGTATCGCGGTATGGCGTCCTAAATACGTCATCGATAGATGACGTCGGCAAATGGTTCGACAACCATGACGCGGAGGAAGATGTGTTGTTGAATCTACATCAGTTTCAGTACAAACTTCAGTCTGATATTTGCAGCAGACATAAGCCTGACGCCATCGTGCTTGTCAGTACTGCTGCCGATCATTTCAGAGCCAGAGATTTCATCAGACAGACATGGGGGGCGGCCAAACATATCGGAAGTGTGTCGTTGTCTACTGTATTTTTCGTGGGCTTGCCATACACGAATAGCCTTAAACCCGTGGATCGCAGTAGTGAAAAAGGAATGCTTGATTTGAATGAAACGTCTACGGGACTAAATCAACAGGATCATGGTCAAGGCCAGGTTCCACCCGAGGTTCAAAGACTTCTGGAAAGCGAGGCATCAACATATGGCGACATTGTGCAAGGTAACTTTGTCGACTCGTACCATAATTTGACCTACAAGCATATTATGGAGTTAGGATGGGTGGGGTCACACTGTCCGAAGGTGAAGGTCATTGCGAAGATAGACGATGACATTATGTTGAATGTGTATAACCTTGCACAATTTGTCCGAAGAAATGTGGATTTGACACGCTCATTTTACTGCTTTGTGATGGAAAGGAAGCGGCCGTTTAGGCTTCTGGGAACGAAGTGGCATGTATCTGAGAAGGAGTATCCCTTTAAGGAATATCCGACATTTTGTAAAGGATTTGGTTACCTTATGTCACCGGAAGTCGCCCGAACTCTCTACGCAGCATCTCGCTTCAAGCGATTCTATTGGATAGACGACGTATTCGTCACAGGCATACTTTCAAAGGGTATGGGACTGACGTTTCTCCCGCTGGAAAAGGAACACAGCTACAGGACAGACAACAGCAGTATCTCTGACAGGCTTTTTGTTGACATTGCTGCACACAGTGACGGTTATTCATTATGGAACACCATTAAATCAAAAAGTCAATTATCTTAAAACAGTTTTTTGGATTCGTCGGTACTTGATGCCAATCCGAGATTTGTCTAATGTCATAAAATCAAATATTTTACGCTCGGCGGTTCGATCTCTGGCCGCGTCATACCAAAATACGTTAAAACATGGTACTTGTTGTTACCCTGCCTTGTGCTCGACATTACGGGGCTGAAACAAGGACTGGTCGGCTCGGAAGTCGTAATACTGTGTCCGAGTCGGGTATTCATGTTATAACAACGGCATGGCATCTCAGCACTTTAAAACCGGCGTTAGTCCGGACTTGTACAAGCAGCTACAGCCCCACACACGTGCATGCATGTCACTATATAAGTGCAGTGGTCTTGAAGGCTACGTTAACCCCCTCCTCTCTGCTTGAACATCTGATATACCCTCAGTGGAATTTGTTTTAGAGACTGAATATGTTTTCGTTGACTTCTTCAGATTTTTTCAAGATATTCATTGGGTAATTATTTTCGGGGGTAAAATCAATTTTCCGAGTCTTTATTTTAAAAATATTCCCAGTCCCCAAATTAGAATATCAACTGGCTTGTTCTAGACTAACATTTATTTCCAGGAATAAAGTTATATTTTTAAAAATTAAATATGTACAAAATAAAAAAAACCAATCCAAATGAAGCCCAGAACAATGCATAATTTCAGGAGGCAGTCTAGACTTGCCAAATCTCTAGAGTTTGATTCATTTATTAAACTATATGCTATAGGGTGTGGGGGCCACACTGGACTTGACCCAGAACAGATTCATACGGAAATACCACGATATGTAGATCTCGGTAGACAAGTATATATTCAACATTCGTAATTATGCCAACATATGCTGATATGATTATGTAGCATGTGCTCGTGCTCAATGACAGGGAGTGTCCGCATGAATGGCATGCATTGTTCACAAAGAGGTTAAATATCGAGCCGGAATGTAATCACCAAGGTATTGAACCAGAACGTCTAGTGTATCGACTGTATCGCCAGAGGGACCCAGAAAGGTGGATGGGTGAGGTGAAATGGGGTTTCATGTCTCTTTCAAGATAATTTCAAGATTTTTAATAATACTATGCCAATGAGATACCATCCGCGCGACCCTTGAAGAATCGGGGTCTTCAGCAACCCATGCTTGCTGTGAAAGGTGAGGTGAGGTTAGGTGAAATGGGGTTTAACGTCGCGTCCAAGATTATTGCACTTATATAGCGACGTGCATGCACGTGTATGTGTGTGTGGCTGCTTGTACTAGTCCGGACTGATGCCGATTTATAGTGACTCCGAGCCGACCAGTCCTTGTTTTAGCCCCTTAATGCCGAGCGCCAGACAGGGTAACAACAAGTACCATCTTTTAACGTCGTATGACGCGGCTGGGGATCGAACCCCGGACCTTCCACTCTCCGGGCGGACGTTCTACCATTAGACCACGGAGGCGGTTGAAAGGCGACTATGCTTGTCGTATGAGGCGACTATCGGGATCGGGTGGTCAGGCTCGCTGACTTAGTTGATGCATGTCATCGTATCCCAGATACTAACATCTAGTCTCTGAAATGAACATATCGTACAGAAAAAAAACAGTTGTTCGGTTATCTTAATAAAAATATAATAAAAGGGAGCCCAGTGACTCTCTCCATTATACTGCATTAATCTAGACTTGCCAAACATTATAGACTTGCATTGGCTGTATTTGATATATATTTGTATCAGGGTCTGTAAGACAGACTATACGGAGCTGACGGTGATGATAACTTCCACCAGCATTTTTAAGAAATATTATAATTATTGTTTAAATATTTAAATATAACATTGATTTTGTCTCGATAGACATTTCTTACATGAAGGAGTGGCATTAACCGTGTGTAGCCATTGAGCGATCTTTTCGAGCGCTGCTTATCCTGTTATTTCTAAGCGTCACGGGTTTTAACACTACTCGCAGCATGTGCAGAAAGCGAATTCCACGGTGGTGTATTTACGTCACGTGTTACTACAAGTCTTCCAGTCTTTGCGTATCGTTCGATAGCATCCTTTAAATGGACTCCCCTAAGATTAAAGCCACCGATGCAAGGCTAGATGAGACAGCCGAAGATGGAGAAACGTCCAATTTTCAGCTCCCCGGTGTTCCTATAATTGGTATTACAGTAAACTACGGTTATAGCGAACGCGCTTATAACGAACTGACGGATATAACGAACTTACTTATTTGGTCCCGACTATTTGCTGTAGTTATTCTGTATATATGCTTATAACGAACTACGGTTATAACGAACTAAAATTAGTAGTCCCCATGAATTCGTTATAACCGTAGTTTACTGTACTGTCTCCGTCGATTTACATAGCGTTTTTCGTCACATTTTGAATATTCAAACCATTACAAATCGGCAGTTTGAAACCAACATGGTTGAGAAAGCAGTATATTTTTCCGAGTATTTATTTCAAAAATATTCCCAGTCCCCAAATTAGAATTATCAACTGGCTTGTCCTAGACTAACATTTATTTCCAGAAATAAAGTTATATACAGCGGTGATGCGGCCGTCACATCGGTGTATTAATCAAAAGTTGTTACTGTTATTTGAAACCTCTAAATGATTAATACACCAGATTGTCCAGGCTGGCAGAAAGTAGGCGTCATGATCATCAAATTAGGATTCTTAGAGAGAAACGACTGGGGCAACGCCGTTCATAGTTTCATCTACATTTGTATGTGGTAGCATTGCTTGTTTGTTGTTTAAGGCCGCACTCAACATATTCCTGGTTTATCACGGCGGTCAGGGAGTGATCGAGTGTTCCAGACAATCTAGTGATCGATATTATGAGTAGCGATTTGAATTGCGGAACTACAGACCGCTGAGTCAGGACAGTCAGACCGTAACTGTTTTTATGATGGACGTGGGCGCCCAGTTAACAATCTATTGTGTTCACCGTCTAATACCGTGTTCACAATATATCGTGTATACTTACATTGATGGATTGATCGACGACAGTTGAATGGCTGCCATCACATACTTCCTGCACAAACCACGCACGTGTGACCACTTTGAAGTGCTTTAATAAATGGAATCAATATTTGGATTGTTTTTGGTTTTTTCTTTTAGACCAAGAGAATATTAGATTTCCATCCAAATTATCAATAATGCGAGCGGGAGGCCTTTTGTTGGCTATAAATATGAAATAAAATTGATATTTTAGAGGTTTTTGTTCAGCCGATATTTTAGAAAGTGCATGTGTGCTGTAATGAGATCGCCTCTGTGGTCTAGAGGTAGAGCGTCCGCCCAGAAAGCGGAAGGTCCTAGGTTCAAGACGTCAAAAGATGGTACTTGCTACTACCCTGTCTGCCGCTCGGCATTGAGCGGCTAATGGTCAGCCCAGAGTCTGTATACTGTGTCTGAGTGGGGTATTTATATTAAACTGTGGCATGGTATCTCATTGGGCTAGCACTATAAAATCGGCATTAGCCCGGACACACACCATCTTCCCGAGGCAAGAGAGTTAACTGATTTTAAAAGTCCAGTTTCCACCCTTGCCGGATCACCCTTTCCATCATTGGTCGGATCAAAGGTCGTTCTGACGTGACCCGTAATGGGATGTCCTCAGATCTTTGTTTAGCGATAGCGAGAACTAAGATCTGATTTTAATGAGATTGGTGAGCGGGTGAGTCAGCAAGTGTGGTTTTACACAACTTCTAGCACTATTTCACACATTGTAAGCATGCGGGGAATCAAACCCTGGCCTTTACCACGAAGAGCCAACCCTTAACCCCCTGGCCACTTTCCGCCCTCACATTCCCAAGTGTGTTTGTTGTCTGACCGGTTAGTTTGGGGTTTGTTGTTTTACATGGCGTGCAGCTAGCACCATCCCCCATCATATCACAGGTTCCTGTAAATAAAGTGAGTGCGTGAGTTGGGTTTAACGCTGCTTTTAACAGTATTCCAGTTATATCGCGGCGTGTCAGCTTAATGTGGGAGGAAAGCCCGACGTAATGCAGGTTTCAGACGTTTACCACTTCGGTGAAACCCACGAGCACGGGTATGGTGCTGACAAACCTAGAAACATAATTGGGGCGAACCGGGATTCGAACCAACAATGTGGGGGGAACGCCCAAAATCTGTAAATAAAGAGTCTGAGACAGAGGAGCCACATCCTTTACAGCACTAAAGTTCAATAATGACCTCTTGAATCTGCATGTGTTAAATATCATTTACTCAAACTTTCAGCATCCTAAGTCTTGTTGTCCTTAAAAACCAAAAATAAATAAATACATTCAAATGTTTTGAACAGAAAACAGCAATTAACTGTTAAATCACAACGATCAGAACGGAAATTCATTATGGCTGTTGTGTCCACAATCAGATCATAATTGATGGGAAGGTTAAGTGCCATTGGTTCAGTTGTTTCTGAGACATTTACAGACACCTACCTAATTGTGCCCATCAGCAATGGACAATTTTTACACTACGTCTTACAGACAGGTGAGCTAATAACAAGCAATTGGAGCAGGGTTTGAAATTCCTGACAAAACTTTAAATCAATCCCTTTTTAATTAATATTTGATTATGTATGTATCAAGAATATCGAGGAAACCATTGCTCCTCCATATTTTGCATAAAATCATTTTCAAAAATTCAGTTTATTCAGAAAGTATGCAAAAATAAGTAACAACATGTATAAATAGATAATTAAATAGATAATTCTCTGCCTAAAAGTCTGCATTTGTGGTTCTCAAAGCCATATCATAATCATTTGGCAGAAACACTTGGAATAACAAACACACTGTACACAGACTGCATCTGTAAACAATGAAAAACTTTAATTTGACTTCCAAGTTTAATATAAGTCAACTTCAGCATATTCTTGTTTAAGAAATATGACTCTTCACATGATGAATTTTAGATTACAGTGTAACCAAATACTTAATCATGTATACAGGTAAGTTTGTTAGTTGTTCAAGGACACACTCATCAACACCCTAAGCTATATGATGGTGGTCCGTAAATAAGTCTGGACCAGACAATCCAGTGATTGACGTCATGAGCATCGATCCATGTAATTGGGATACGATGACATGCATCAGCCAAGTCAGCAAGCCTGACCACCCGATCCTGTTAGTCGCCTCTTACGATAAGCATGGTTACATGGAGGCAATCTTTCAGGGCATTGTAACTCCCATCCTTTAACATAGACAGTCTTACTTGCTTCAGGATCTGCCAACTGTAAATTTAGTTGAAAAATAATTTTTTATATCCCCCAATAAGCTGGTATCATACAGCACCCCAAAATATTTGTTTAAACAAGAACACACTGAAGTTGACATATATTGAACATGTGAAGGTCTGACCACATATAGTGCAAGCTCTAGTACAATCATGTACTTTTTTCAGAGACCTTTTATAGTTCTTTATTGGAACAGCTTTTGGGGTACTTTCGAAATGTTTGTTTTGCATATTCAGGTTAAAAGTGACTTGAATACTAGTATGTTTATTACATATAACACAGGTTGAATGTTCAGGGGATTTCTGTATTTTCAGAGGCTTTTTATGTTTTGGATCTTCTCAGATGAGCTGATGATTCTTTTCATGTTCTTGAGGATCTTTTTCATGTTCTTGAGGATCTTTTTCATGTTCTTGAGGATCCTTTTCATGTTCTTGAGGAGTGAGTGAGTTGGGTTCAACGCCGCTTATAACAGTATTCCAGTTTTATCACGGCGTGTCAGCTTAATGTGGGAGGAAAGCCTGAAGTGATGCAGGTCTTAGACGTTAACCACTTCGGTGAAACCCACGAGCACGGGTATGGTGCTGACAAACCTAGAAACATAATCGGGGCGAACCGGGATTTGAACTCACAATCATAGGTTTCTGGCATGCCCAAGGGACACAACTCTGCACAGCGAATCGCGGCGCCTTAGACGACTGGGCCACCCATTCCCCCTTGTTCTTGAGGATCTTTTTCATGTTCCTGAGGATCCTTTTCATGTTCCTGAGGTTTCGTCTGTTCTTGAGACTGCTGAAGGCTTTTACACGAACATCACATTTATAAGATTTTGCATCCGGTTCGCCCCGATTTTTTGAATCGACAAATGATTGCATAGGCTTCCTTCTGACCTTGTACCTCACCGCAGGTTGTACAGTCATAATTTTTGTTCAGTTTTGTCTTGATGCCAGTTCTGTCGGTCAAAAGCTTCTGCAATGTCCTGGGCCCTGTTCTGAAGGCTTTTCTGCAGACATCACATGCATATGGTTTGCTATCGGCATACGAACGGACTGGCTCATATCAGCCTTTGGTTCACCCACTGACCTTGGTTCACCCACTGTCCTTGGTTCACCCACTGACCTTGGTTCACCCACTGTCCTTGGTTCACCCACTGACCTTGGTTCACCCACTGACCTTGATTCACCCACTGTCCTTGATTCACCCACTGACCTTGGTTTACCCACTGACCTTGATTCACCCACTGACGTTAGTTCAGCCACTGACCTTGATTCACCCACTGACCTTGGTTAACCCACTGACGTTGGTTCACCCACTGACCTTGATTCACCCACTGACCTTGGTTCACCCACTGACGTGAGTTCACCCACTGACCTTGATTCACCCACTGACCTTGGTTTACCCACTGACGTTGGTTCACCCACTGACCTTGATTCACCCACTGACCTTGGTTTACCCACTGACGTTGGTTCACCCACTGACCTTGATTCACCCACTGACCTTGATTCACCCACTGACCTTGGTTCACCCACTGACCTTGATTCACCCACTGACCTTGATTCACCCACTGTCCTTGGTTCACCCACTGTCCTTGGTTCACCCACTGACCTTGATTCACCCACTGACGTTGGTTCACCCACTGACCTTGATTCACCCACTGACCTTGGTTCACCCACTGACCTTGGTTCACCCATTGACCTTGGTTCACCCACTGACCTTATTTCACCCACTGACCTTATTTCACCCACTGACCTTGGTTCACCCACTGACCTTGATTCTCCCTTTGATCTTGGCTATCTCCTGATCTCGGTTTACCCGCTGACCTTGGTTCTCCCTCTGACCTTGATTCACCCACTAACCTTGGTTCACCCACTGACCTTGATTCTCCCTTTGATCTTGGCCATTTCCTGATCTCGGTTTACCCGCTGACCTTGGTTCTCCCTCTGACCTTGATTCACCCACTAATCTTGGTTCACTCACTGACCTTGATTCTCCCTCTGACCTTGGCTATCTCCTGATCTCGATTTACCCGCTGACCTTGGTTCTCCCTCTGATCTCGGTTCACACCTTAATCTTGAAATGGTTTGACACCAGCATGCATCAACAGGTGATTGCATAGGCCTTGGAATGAAACACAAACCTCACCACAGATTGTACAGTTATGTTTTGTCTTATGTTTGATGATGCCAATTCTGTGAGTCTTTGCTAAATGCTTCTGCAACATTTCTGGAGAACTGAAACTCAACTCAACATTTGTAACAATGTTGGGCAGGGTGATTTCCCTGTCAGAATGGTTCCATTTGCAGCAGCACCATTTACATAACTTTCAAGTTCTATCTGCACAACAGTTTCCTGAGATAAAACTGTCATCCCATCCATCAGATGTTGCTTCAGAAGTGTCCAGCAATGACCTGGTGCCATGCGGTAACTCTCCACAACGAATCTTGTCTGATACTCTCATCGTATCATAATCAGACAGATCTATCTCAAAGTCTTCACAGGATTCATCAGGTTCTATAACAAATACATCATCACTGTCTTGTTCATCAGGTCTAGCCATGGCTTCCGTCAGAACTTGTTTCTCATCGTCCGACTCCTCTCGCATCACTGAGGAGCCAACCCGACCCTTTTCTGATTTAATATAAGTGATACCTAATTCCTCTATTTCAGAATCACTGTCTGAGGAAACAATGATGCATGAGTCCATACTCTCCTTGGAATCATGGTGTTCACCATGGGGATCTGCTTCAGGGGTGTGGTGTGTAACTTGAATGTGTTCCTGACCAGCATAGCAGTCATCATGGACTGAAGTCAAAGGCATCAAATCATTTGCAGATACTTCTGGATACCCAGTTAGACAAGAGGCTTTCTGTTGCTTTCTGGGAGTTGGAGTCTGGCCTTTGGCAGGACCTGCCAGTGCACTGACCAGTAGACCACCTTTGCACCCTGAATATTCTTTGGAGCTGGATGTTTTACTTATCAAATCATTGCCGAGCATCTGTTGTGTGGTTCTTTCCGGATCACATGTTTGACTGGGATGCAGAGGCTGTGATACTTTTGAACCATGCTCCAGTTCTGAATGTGAACTTGTTACTGCTGTTAGAAGATGGCAGGTTTTCACTGTGGAACCTTCAAGGCTACCTAACCTCCAATTCTGGCCGTGATCTACATTTTGTACAGAACACTGCTGGCCATGGTGGCCATTCCTAAGCATGCCATGTAACATTTCAGAAGCAACATCAAATCCTGAAAGGGATTTCAATTCTTTATGCTTCTCTGTCAAGGATTCTTGTATCAAGTCCTCGCGCCCACACGACAGTTGTATGATCGGCTCACTTACACTCTGTTTCACTGGACCTGATTGGTTCATCTTGGTGTCAGGTGGTATCAAGGGGCTTTCAGTTCCATGTGCATGTGACACATCCCCTTTTCCGGCGTTCATGAGGATACATTGCTTCTGACATGAATCATCACCCACAGATGACAACATTGCTTCAGCTGGCATGATACCTGGAGGAAAGTGCTGCTTGACTTCATGCTCTTTCATTCCTTCTACAAATGGTCTGTCGGTGACTTTCTCAATGGGTGTTAAACGTTTCTCACTTTTGTACATTTTCCTTTTTGTTGGTGTTGAAGGTTCAAACCAGTCACTTCTTGGAAGGATTTGTTCACGTTTCTGATCAGATGTCACCAAATCTTCTGATGTCTTCCTAGCAGACTGAACAGAGCCTGATTGTTTCTTTCGTTTCCTCTTCTGTTTGTCTTTGCCACGAACCTTTTTCACTCTCTTCAGTGGCTTGCCTTGAACAGGTATGGCCTTACTTTCTTGAGCCCCATTGTCAAGATTAATAAGTAGGTACTTGCCCCTTTGCTTGTAAAAGTCATCACCATGAACTGTGCCAAATTCTGAGTCGGAACAACTGCTGTCCCAATTGTCCTCGATTGCCGAGTGGGTTTTAGCAAAACTGGTCATAGCAGGACCAGCAATTGTAAGTAGCTTTCTGTCCAAATGTATGAATTACATAAACAAGAAACCAGTTGGCTTCCAACCACTGTGTCAATCTCTGTATTTGTGGTAAGAATTGAAATTTTGAAAGTGTTTTAATGAATTACTGAGGTCCTTGGAAGGTTCACAACTGCTGATACAATGCAGCATATCACTGAGGCCTTTCCCGTATGCGTAGACAAAGCCAGGGTTGATGTCAATTGGACTTCCTGCTTGGTTGTGGAGTTAGCTTTGGTATAAACTTCTGCCCTGTTTACAACAGATTGGCAAAACATGACACTTGATCTGAATATGCCTCAGAATATTCTTAACGAATCACTATGAGTGGACTTGTCAAAGAATTCACATCCAGTTTCACACAACATGAGACAGGTCTTGTTTTTGGACCCTTTGCGTGCTGTTTTGACTTCAGATAGATTCCAGCTTCTGAACCAAGGGTGGAGGAAGGTGTGTCAGTCACTCATCTTCATCTCATATTGTCAAGCACCTGTAATGACATAATTCAGAGCCATGAAGGTTGATGTATTGTATAATATTAGATAGCTATGACATAAATCGCAAAGGCAATGAAAAACGAGGCATGGTTTATTTCATGATAAAACATGTTCTACCATGACATCATTTCTGGAGATTCAAACATATCCCTGCAAATTGATGACGTCGTAAATTAAACGATGTCATGTTTGAGAGGGTAGCTAGTTGTTCCCCTCAGATGTAGCAGGGCAACTTAGATAAACGCAATAGCTAAATGATTGCCTCAAAAAGTGGGAGAGATATGGCAATCTGAATTGGGAGAAATAGTACAGATAATCGCCGGGAGAATTGTGAGAATATCAAATTTAACCGCTAATCATGAAATGAATTTGTCCAACATTGCCAGAATCAGATTGTATTAAGGGAGTCATCATTATTTAAATACAGGTAAATATTTTTAAAGCTTGAAAATTTTATTAACATTGAGTTTGCTTTACACTGCTTTTAACACTATTTAACAAATGTTTAAGATTGTGTTCACTGATTGATAAGAACTGAAAAAGATATATAATAAACATATTAACAGCTGAGTAGCATGGGCAGACATTCGGTTAAAAAATACATCAATAGAAACACAGGTCCCCATTAGGGCTGGGACAGGAAACTCAGGTACTCGGGTTGGGTGGGTACTGAGTAGGACCTGGGTACCCACAGGACTACCCGGACCCGAGGGTTAGTCATGTGACATATTGTTAAATGACAAAAAGTCACTATAACTCCATGGTTACACTACAAGTCACTAATGTTCACATTTCTTCATGACTATCCATGCATTACATCTGACTTTCACATGTCTGAATACAGATAAAACTTCCATCAACTTCAGTATGTGCATGGCCAGATCATTTTATAGTGTACCTAAATACATTTTTTCAGGGCTACGGTCAAACTATTCCAAAACGGACATTTTGCACCAGGGCCCATTCCACAAAGCAATCTTAGTGCTAAGACGATCGTAAATCCCATACTTTAACATTGACTTGCAGCAATCGTAGAGCTGTGATCGCTTTGTGGAACGGAGCCCAGTACCTCTTGAGACCTACAGCAGGTACCCAGGTAGGGTCAGGTAATAGGGGTGTGGGTACCCGGGTTCTAAATCTGGACTCGTCCCAGCCCTAGTCTCCAGTACACACTAGTAATCAAATGTTATTCAAGGTTACTAAAAAGATCAATATTGGCCTTTAAATATATGTAGGTCAAAATGCAAGGCAAATATCAAGGTGACATGTGACTGAACGATTAAGATAGCAATTGGACTAGTCATTTATTTATATTAAAGGGGGAAGGGAGGGTGTGATCGAATAATGTAGCATTTAGATTAGTCATTTATTTATATTATAGGGGGAAGGGAGGGTGTGAACGAATAATGTAGCATTTAGACTAGTCATTTATTAATATTATAGGGGGAAGGGAGGGTGTGAACGATTAAGATAGCAATTAGACTAATCATTTATTATAGGGGGAAGGGAGGGTGTGAACGAATAATATAGCATTTAGACTAGTCATTTATTTATATTACAGGGGGAAGGGAGGGTGTGAATGATTAAGATAGCAATTAGACTAGTAATTTATTATGGGGTGGGTGGGAGCTAAAGATAGCAATTGGACTAGTCATTTATTATAGGGAGAAGGGAGGGTGTGAACGATTAAGATAGCATTTGGACTAGTCATTTATTATAGGGGGAAGGGAGGGTGTTAACGAATAATATAGCATTTAGATTAGTCATTTATTAATATTATAGGGGGAAGGGAGGGTGTGAACGATTAAGATAGCAATTAGACTAGTCATTTATTATAGGGGGAAGGGAGGGTGTGAACGAATAATGTAGCATTTAGATTAGTCATTTATTAATATTATAGGAGGAAGGGAGGGTGTGAACGATTAAGATAGCAATCAGACTAGTCATTTATTATAGGGGGAAGGGAGGGTGTGAACGAATAATATAGCATTTAGACTAGTCATTTATTTATATTACAGGGGGAAGGGAGGGTGTGAATGATTAAGATAGCAATTAGACTAGTCATTTATTATGGGGTGGGTGGGAGCGATTAAGATAGCAATTTGACTAGTCATTTATTATAGGGGGAAGGGAGGGTGTGAACGAATAATATAGCATTTAGACTAGTCATTTATTAATATTATAGGGGGGTGTGTGTGTGTGTGAACGATCAAGAAAGCAGTTGGACTAGTCATGTATTATAGGGGGAAGGGAGGGTGTGAACGATTAAGATAGCAATTGGACTAGTCATTTATTATAGGGGGAAGGGAGGGTGTGAACGATTAAGATAGCAATTGGACTAGTCATTTATTGTGGGGTGGGTGTGAGCGATTAAGATAGCAATTGGACTAGTCATTTATTATAGGGGGAAGGGAGGGTGTGAACGATATAATATAGCATTTAGACTAGTCATTTATTTATATTATAGGGGGAAGGGAGGGTGTATACGATTAAGATAGCAATTGGACTAGTCATTTATTATAGGGGGAAGGGAGGGTGTGAACGATTAAGATAGCAATTTGACTAGTCATTTATTATAGGGAGAAGGGAGGGTGTGAACGATTAAGATAGCAATTGGACTAGTCATTTATTAAAGGGGGAAGGGAGGGTGTGAATGATTAAGATAGCAATTGGACTAGTCATTTATTATCGGGGGAAGGGAGGGTGTGAACGAATAATATAGCATTTAGACTAGTCATTTATTTATATTATAGGGGGAAGGGAGGGTGTATACGATTAAGATAGCAATTGGACTAGTAATTTATTATAGGGGGAAGGGAGTGTGTGAACGATTAAGATAGCAATTGGACTTGTCATTTATTATAGGGAGAAGGGTGTGTGTGAACGATTAAGATAGCAATTGGACTAGTCATTTATTATAGGGGGAAGGGAGTGTGTGAACGATTAAGATAGCAATTGGACTAGTCATTTATTATAGGGGGAAGGGAGGGTGTGAACGATTAAGATAGCAATTGGACTAGTCATTTATTATAGGGGGAAGGAAGGGTGTGAATGATTAAGATAGCAGTTGGACTAGTCTTTTATTATGGGGGGGGGGGGGGGGGGGGGGGGGAATGGAGGGGGGATGTGGGATTAGATTGATCTTAGGACTGACTCTCTCACATTTCCGCCTATTTTATATTAGGTCCATGAAGATCCGGGGAAAAAATAGGTCTTCAGCAACCCATGCTTGCCGTAACAGGTGACTATGCAGAATGTGAGGGTCTTAAAAAGAAAAGATGTAGGGCACTCAATAAATTCAGGAGATGTAAAGATAAGGACTCACTTAGAGAATATCATAACAAAAGAAACAAATATATAGCTATATGCAAAGAAAAGAAACAAGAATATTTACATGATAAGCAACAATCCTTAGAAAATAACATTTGTGACTCTAAACTATTTTGGTCAGAACTGAAAAGTCTAAGTAAAAACATCAAAAGACAAATAACATCAACATTAAGGATTGGTACATTTACTTTAAAGAATTATTTACTTTCACAGATACTGATCAGAGCCCTGAAAATCAGTTCCAGGGGTCACAAGATAATACTCAGACTCAAACAGATACTCAGTTTGCAAATGATATACTGGATTCCCCTATTACCAGAGATGAGATTTTAGAGAGTATACACCATCTTAAATGCAACAAATCACCAGGAATGGATCAGATTATTCCCTAGTTTTTTAAACATTCCTCAGATATCATTGTACCTTACCTTGAACTTATATTTAATGTTATATTAGAAAATGGAACATTTCCAGATGCATGGTCAATAGGGATAATTGTGCCAATACATAAACAAGGTGATCTAAGTAATATAAACAATTACAGAGGTATTTCACTGCTAAGTATATTTGGTAAACTATTCACAAACATAAGAAATAAAAGATTAGTGTTTTGGGCAGATACCCTCAACAAAATCAATGAAGAACAAGCTGGATTTAGAGAGGGCTATTCAACTATTGACAACATTTTTATCCTTCAAGTTTTAGTTAACAAATACCTCAGTGTCAAGGGTGGGAAACTTTATGTGCTCTTCGTTGACTTTGCCAAGGCATTTAACTCAGTGCAGAGACATAAACTATGGAACCTTTTAAGATCACATGGCCTCAGCTTTAAGATGAACAAACTATTGGGTAGCATTTACGAGAATATTAAGGTGTGTGTGCGAAACAATAATGAGATTTCAGAAACATTTATTAGTCAGTTAGGAGTAAGACAAGGATGCATCTTAAGCCCATTTCTCTTTACTTTTTTCATAAATGAACTGGCTGTGCAAATAAATACCAACTGTAATTATGGTGTTCAGCTCCATCCAGATATTACACAGATATTTTTACTTTTATTTGCAGATGATATTGCTCTCTTTTCATCAACAATCAAAGGACTGCAGTGTCAAATTAATGAACTTGAAAGTTACTGCAATAAATGGAAGCTAACAATTAACATGAATAAAACAAAAGTTTTGGTATTTAAGAATGGAGGTAATTTAGCAAGTAAAGAATATTGGTCCTTCAAAGGACAAAAAATAGAAACTGCAGGATTTTATAAATATCTTGGTGTTTACTTCAGTAGAAACTTGTCATGGCATAAACATTTGTATCAAGCTGCTTTACAAGCAAGAAAGGTCTTTGTAAGTATCCATAAGAGTTTGAAAGTTTTAGAAACCATATCTCATCAATCTATTTTAAAATATTTGATATAAAGATACTCCCCATTTTGTTGTATGGGGCAGAAGTCTGGGGTTTACAGCACTTTGATGCCATAGAAAGGATTCATTTATATGTTTGCAAAAAGTATTTAGGTGTTAAAATAAACACTTCCAGCTTGGTGGTGTATGGAGAATGTGGAAGATTCCCTCTCTATGTATATTCAAATATAAAAGTTATTAAATACTGGCTGAGACTTATAGTTTATGATAATAATGGGAAAAGAAACTGGGTTACAGGTGTTAGAGAATTACTTTTCAGTTGTGGCTATGGTGATATTTGGCAAAACCAAAATGTGTATTCCAAACCAATGTTTATACTTTCATTAACCCAGAGATTAAAGGATATTTATTTACAATCTTGGACTGCATCATTGACAAACAAATGCTTTTATTACAAAATGTTTAAATCAGAAATAATTATGGAAGATGAATTTCATTTCTTACTTGTATGTCCAGTGTATTTACACCTTAGAGAAAAATACCTGCAAGCTTATTATTACAGGTACCCTAATATTATTAAATTTGTTACATTGCTGTCAAACACAAAAAAGAAGTATCTTACAAAATGTGTCCATGTTCATATATTATGCCTCTTTATACCGACAGAACCTTATGAAAGAATAATCTTAGCTGCTTGGTATTAGGAAACTATTGTGTATATACATTAAGTACATATTTATAGATATTTGCAATCTGAATAAACTACAAACAAAAGAGTTAGAAATGGTATTAAACTACTAGGCTGTCATATGATATTGTGGGACGTGATATTACAAATGGTTAAGTATAGTTACATGTATATGAAATGATATGATGTGACATGACATGATGTGATATGATAGGAAGTGATGTGGTGTGATATGATACATGAGGGGATATGATGCAATATATTATGTGTATTATAGAAATTGTGTAAATACTGTTTTTTAGTGTACATATTATATGGCTTGCGGTCTTCCAGTGTTGAATAAATATTGATTGATTGATATGAAATAAATTGGCATGGAATGACATGGCATTATATGGTATGATATGATAAGATATGATGGGACAAGCTATGACATTGCTAATGTGTTGTGTGATATGACATGTTGAAATGTGATACAATATAGTTGTGATATATGGTACGATGGTATGTATAGTATGTTATGATAATGTTATATGAAATAATACTATATAGTATGATCTTATAATAATGATACAATATGATATGATGTTATAGAATATGTTGTATGATATAACAAGTTGTGATATGGTAATATAGAAATTATGACATTACAGGGTATGGTATTGTACTGTATGTGTGAAACTATGTGACTGCGTTGAGATGCGAGGTGGAATGACATGAGGTGATCTGGTGAGATATGTACATAAATTGTATAAAACTGTATATTCTTCAACTTGTACTATAGGCCTGTGGCCTCTTCAGTATGTGAAATAAAAATTAAAGGTGACTATGCTTGACGTAACAGGCGACTAACGGGATCGGGTTGATGCATGTCATCGATCCCAATTGTGTGGATCAATGATCATGATATCAATCACTGGATTGTCTGGTCCAGGCTTGATTATTTACAGACCGCCGACATATAGCTGGAATATTGCTGAGTGCAGCGTTAAACTACAAACCAACCAACCATTTTATATGAAACATATTTTCAAGACACCCCTCCCTAAAATAAATTAGTTTTTCTACTTGAAAAATTATAACAGTGTATATTTTAACTTACATATTACCAGTTGGAACATGTATATTCGGAGTAGAAATTCAGGATCGCCGTCTTTGCCTTCTGTCGACATTAACTCCTGCATCAAGTTAACGAAGCGGTTTAAAAGCACTACTTCCTTGTTTAAAGCCCGGAGCTCCGAACAAAAGGTTGACGTACTAGATCTACTGTTATCGACCCTTCATTGTCACTTTCTTTGTGTTATTTCTGAAATATTCGGAAATTACAGTTGGAAATTACAGTTGGCCCTTACAGTTTACTGCAAGGCTTTTTTTTGCTATGAGCAAATGCGCTTGTTTCAGTCCGGTGGAAAGTTTGAGCACATTTCGTTTATACCGCGAAGAGTGGGAATCAAAACCCTTGTGAGCTGGTTACAGATCTACCGGTTATCGCCATTGTCTACCGGCATGGACATAAAATGCGCATCTTATCTGTGTATTCTTGCAAGCTTACCAATAAATATATGAACAAATAAAAACGTACCTCGGTTTAATGCAGAGCATAAAGCAACGACGATAACCAGCCACTTTGAACCTCTCACCGCATTTTCACTTAAACTGGTTCTGGTTTTGAGGTAATGCGCTGCTTTCCTTGCGCGCTGACCAGGCAGGTTTGAACTCTCTATCACAGCGTTTAATTGCTGTCTGCAGTGGAGGCAGCAGGTGTTAGCGAAGCTATCGCTGTAAGGGTTTATACTGGGTCACTCGCGCAACTGTAAATCCTGGATCGAAAATGTGATGAGATTCCGCACAGAACTGACATACTTAGAATCAGAGATCATATATAGGTATATCGGTCTCTGTTAGAATTAATCTAGTAGTGCTAACATATATTCAACACGAAAAGCAAACAAAATATAAATTAAATATATTGGATTGTTGAAAGCACCGATAAAAATTAAATCTAATGGGAATTTATTAATTCTAAACAAACCCGTTGAATGGGTGCTGGGGCGCCTTTGTTTGCAATTAAGGACCTGGGTACGTACCTCTAATAATAGTGAGTGAGTATGGTTTTACGCCGCTTTAAGCAATATTCCCCCAATATCACGGCGGGGGACACAAGAAATGGGCTTCACACATTGTATCCATGTCGGGAATCGAGCCCGGGTCCTCGGCGTGACGAGCGAACGCTTTAACCACTAGGCTACCCTACTGTTATCTCGTTCCTACATTTTACAATAAACCTTCCTAAAACAGTGAGTGAGTGAGTTGGGTTTCACGCCGCATTTAACGCCGTCTTCCAGTTACATCACGGCGCGTCAGCCTAATGTGGGAGGAAAGCCCGAAGTGATGCAGGTGTCAGACGTTAACCACTTCCAAACCTCTGACAAACCTCGAAACATAATCGGGGCGAATCGGGATTCGAACGCCAATCATAGGTTTCTGGCGTGCCCAAGGGACGCAAATCTGCACAGCGAATCGCGACACCTTAGACGACTGGGCCGCCCATGCCCCCTAAAACAGTAAGTGAGTGAGGTTTAACGCCGCTTTTAGCAATATTCCAACAATATCACGGCGAGGGACCTCAGAAATGGGCTTCACACATTGTAGGCTACCCATGTGTGGAATCGAACCCGGGTCTTCGGCGTGACGAGCAAACAACAACAATAGGAATGAGGGTAAACTAAATAGTCCTAACAACAACAACAACAACAACAACAACAACAACAACAATAGGAATAATACACAAAAGAATAATAGGCCTACAACATGGATACTTAATATATTTAGGGTCCATGATAACAACAACAATAACAACAACTACAACAACAACAACGACAAATAATGAGCCTATAACAATCCACATATTTTTCAATTATCAGCCAGTGACTGTACAGAAGCAGGCTAAATTGTGAAAGAAAACTCAACAAACACAGGTCAATGCTAATATGAGGCCCCCCACTGCTGGTCGTGTGAGTTCCGTATTTTCCTCTATTAGACCAAGGCCGTAGTTAACTTTTTTTGACAGGGGGGGCAAATATTTGTACAAGTATCACTTGTCCCCAACTTGATTCAAATAAAACTGTTTTCTATCAAAAATCTGGGGGGCAACTGCCCCCCTTGCCCCCCGGCTGGCTACGGCACTGTAGACACCCTGGATCCAATCCTTTCGCGCAAGCTGTTCACCCAGCGTCCATTAGACTCTTTAATGGCGGCACAGTCGCAACTCATTTTCTTACTGAATCCCAAACCCTACAGTCATTCAAAAGATACATTTGCAGAAAACGGTCGTTATTAATCACCAACAAATCACAGTATGAAATAGGATTAAAGAGACCAGACCGGCTTCTATTCTTTTATTTAAAAGTAAATCGTTTCTTATGCTTTTAGTCATTGCGATTTCTTAACGGTATCCTTGCTACAGCTTGAATATCGACGACACCACGATGCGTTTGCCTACGCACGCGCATTCCGTTCACATCCGGGTTAGCAATCTGAGCTTCTCGTGTATAGTCTGGAAGGTAATTTAAGGTACCGACGTTTACTACAATAACTGAAAAACTATTAGACCTACTCCAGTCAAAGTTGGTATGAGATTATTAAACAGTCATACATAACTGAATATTACATTTAAAGACAATCGGTGCATGAATAAAAAATCTGTCTATTTAGCTATCACTATATTTCATCACCAACCAGACCTGACCCGTGAATATTCCGGGTATAGAATAGGTCTTCAGCAACCCATGCTTGCCGTATAAGGCAACTATGCTTGTCGTAAAAGGCGACTAACGGGATCGGGTGTTCAGGCTCGCTGACTTGCATATAAAACCGATTTTTTATATTACTATTGCGTCTAATTTTGAAACAGAAAATGGACATTATTCCATTCCGTGTTCATTAGTGTCATCGATACTTTCTATACAAATGATCACAAAGTCTTTTAAAACATGGCTGACAAACACGATTGTCTCTTTGAATGCAGGGTTGTTGATGAACGTATTTTCCGCCCTCGTTCAATAAAGTCGCCAGTATGTCCAAGGATGAGACACCCCTTACAATCTCCAACTAACAGCCAAAGTAGAATAGTCAAAGTATCCCCTTAAGGCAACAAACAAAGAGGATGGATGTCGGTATCTCCTACGACTCGTAAACTATAACTACCAACATGTGTTTTTCCTCACACTTGAATGAATAACCGCAATTACCGTCATCGCTTGGAGACACTACCCAACACGATGTCCGTGCATGTACAGTTACCCTGGGGCTGGGGTTGTGGTGGGGGAGCGTCCCCTCCACCCCTGCTAACACTCAGATACATGTGTTTGGTCACCATATACAATGGCCAACCGGACAAAGCCCATACATTCCCTACAGACATAGGTCATCAGTTGATGCGGGTCCGGTCTGGTAATCCTACCATCGTGTCCGGATCTTACTGGTTTCCGTTTCCGGAAGCATATTTATGTAAATGCTCAACAACAAAAGTAGCATGTTAATAATCATGAAACATTTTTAGAATCTTACCAAATACAAGACTTGTATTGGGCAAACGTTCCATGCAGAAACAGTTACAATATTGAAAAAAATATAACATATACATAATAAGTCAAGAAAACAATACAAAACACCAACATTGAATATTATAACATAACTGTGATATAATTATTACGTGTTATTTTATAACTGTTATAATATAATTATGTGTTATAATATAACACAAAAGTAGTTGAAGATTTCAAGCGTTCTTGTGAACATAGATCCGAAAGCGTTTCTAAAGCTATTTTTTTCTTAGTTTAAATTGTATTCTAAATTTTAAATGTGTGTCATCTTTACGGTTTTAGTGAGATGTATGGTTAAGTTTTTTAACAAAAGGGATGTACAGCACAAAGAAAGCTCAACTTTCTTTTTAAAATATTATCATATTTTCGTCATCGTTATCAATGTCATCACCTTCACCCTGTCTAAGAGGCGACTAACGGGATCTGGCTGTCAGGCTTGCTGACTTATTGATGCATGTCATCGTGTCCCAATTGCGTGGATCGATTCTCATGATATCAATCACTGGATAATCTGGTCCAGACTCCATTATCACAGACCGCCGTCATATAGCTGGAATATTTCCGCGGCGTTAATCAACAAACAAACAATGTCAGTACCTTCATCCTATGGATAAAATCCAACTTCTATATTTATTCAGCGTGTTAAATCGGTCGAAAGTCACTAGAAGTACATTTGGAAACAAAAGCCGTAACCACAGCAAGCACATGCTGTACAGGTCTCTGAAAAACAAAATGACCTTCGAATTTAATCAGTACCACCGGAGTTCCTGCCTTACTTATGTCTTATCTTCCCCCCTACATTCCATTCACTCTTGTCACTTCCTCTGCTGTCGCCGAGCCCGTATTTAGCAGGGACATTTCAATGTTGACATTAAAGAGCTTTGTTTATACTTTGTTACACGTGTGACGCGCTGAGACGGCCGCGTCAGGGCTAGCCTTGCTCCAAGGCTGTACTGAAAGAAAAGTCCATAGATGTGTAGCAATTCTGTCCTCCTAGTATGCAAGTCTAGATATGTGGAAGGACTTCAGTCTTTTATATTGCCAACCTGTTTTTATTATTTACATAATCTAGAAATTATGATTTAAGCTTATAATTATTGCCTAAGAGACTTGTGCAAGTCTACGGAGGGCCTGCAAGCTCGGTCGTATGTTTTTATTTTAACGATTACTTTTATGGTTTAAGGGTTAACAGTAAACGGAAATTCTACCGACGACAGATTCCAGCAACTTTCCTGACTGATGAGACGTCAGAATAGATCAGTTGTTAGACTTGCACTCAAAATACAGAGTCTGTGGCTAATGTCAAAGTTCATGTGAGGATACGTGTTCCTACAAACATATATGGATGGCCGTGAACTTTCTGTGTGAACGCTTCTTGATGGTATTCGTGAATTACATTTGGAGCGGAGGATGGAGATGAGGAAAAACAAATTTGGTGTGTAGCTAATAGAACTGTTTTGGGTCTTTTGTAAATTCGAAATGATTGGTACCGTTAGGTCTCATTATCGCCACCCTACCGTCACCGTCACCGTCATCGACGTCAACACAGCATCTGCTACCATCACCGTCATCAGTACACTTACGGCGAGGGACCTCAGAAATGGGCTTCACACATTGTAGGCTACCCATGTGTGGAATCGAACCCGGGTCTTCGGCGTGACGAGCAAACAACAACAATAGAAATGAGGATAAAATAAATAGGCCCAACAACAACAACAACAACAACAACAACAACAACAATAGGAATAATACAAACAAAGAATAATAGGCCTACAAGATGGATACTTAATATATTTAGGGTCCATGATAACAACAACAATAACAACAACAACAACAACAACAACAACAACAACAATAGGAATAATACAAAAACTATAATAATAATAAAAGAATAATAGGTCTACAACATGGATACTTAATATATTTAGGGTCCATGATAACAACAACAACTACAACAACAACAACGACAAATAATGAGCCTATAACAATCCACATATTTTTCAATTATCAGCAAGGTACTGTACAGAAGCAGGCTAAATTGTGAAAGAAAACTCAACAAACACAGGTCAATGCTAATATGAGGCTCCCCACTG